TTCCCCTTTCGAGTTTGCAACAGTTGGCCGACCATTGCGTCCCTTCGAAAATGTAATTCTGGATCTGCCCGCGCAAGTAGGTCATGATTTGTTTGAATATCAGATGGATCTACACAGGCGTTCGTGTGGTTGTTGATGATCACGAAGACCGAGGAGTACGGTGTACGAAAGCCTCACTTCAATGCGTTAATTAATGGCCCTCAACCCAGGTCTTTGTCAAAGGATCAGAGAGATACTTAAGAAGAAGAAGGAGGAGGAGGAGGAGGAGGCGGCGGAGGAGGAGGAGGAGGAGAAGGGTTCTTATAAAGCGTTTTTAACTACGATGAAAGCGTTTTACATTATCATTACCCCTGATCATTGGGGCAATTTAACATTCCAAATACCATCTCAGCTCCCTAGGGAGTATACAGCTCGATGCAGCGTGTTAGGGGCAGGGAAGTTAGAATCAATCACAATAACCATCTCTGCCCTCACAGGTACCCATTTACTCCTGGGTCGGGAGAAACAACAACGAGACAACTTGTTTCCCCTTGAATTCAAAGGTGTATAAACGTTCATTTGACGACAGTCTCAGTTGTCGAGGCTTGGAATTGTTATTATGTGAACCTAATATTTACTCCTATTATTTGGTTAAAATGAGGACATCGTGACAATTATTGATGGCTAATCTGAAATCGTTGCACACGACGCGCAAAATCCAGCCCGTCTCCACCTGACTGGACGGAGCTGTGAGTATACAATGGATTATTGAATTTATTGGCCGCGTGTGTAACATATCATCACGTATATGAATGCATTTGACGCCGCTCTGACGCTGGAAATTCCATGGATTGTTCATTTTAGAATATAAATCAATAAAGATGTTTTGGTTTACAATGCGTCTGGGCTGCCTACCTTCTGTTTTCCTGTGATGTCATGGTGCATTACTCCTGTAGGGCTTTTGGATCTGTCCCAAATTCCACATTCCTGTAACTCCATGTCCACACGGGCGAGACGGGTGAGCAATTGTTTTTTGAAAGAAGTTGTTGCCTCTGTATTCGGCTGAGGAAACTCTCGATCATAGCTGTAGGTTTGACAGTGGGGACATGGCGATGGTAACCCGAATGGCCATGGGATTAATGTCGTTGTACATGGTGGGTAAAGGTGCTGGCCACAGGCCAGATAATCAACGAGAACTCTCCACGCAAACTATTTTTTTTCAATTGCTATTACATTGTTCTAGCAAAACGACAGTTATTCAATGAGACTTGCACTCAAAACAATCGGCCCACGTTTTGTTATGAAGTAATGACGGGAACAATTCGCATTATTTCTGCAGTTCGACAATAATTTCGTTCTCGACCTTTTTAGCAGAGTCAGCCCAAAGCAAACTCGTTCCAAGGGTCTGCTTTCAACCTCGATACAATAGTAGACCCTGGCAGTGTAACTTGATTTGCTGCATGCATATTCTGATTCGATCCCGCAACAGCAAGTAATAGATTTGTAATGTGTACTTGATGGTTTTATTGCCAAACTTATTATTTTCCATTGTGTTTTTTATGTCTATTTTCTACTCACAGCGTGTTCTACTCTTCCATTAGCTTACCATATTTGGTGTTATATTGAATTTGCCACTGGTAAATTACAAATTTGTTTTCCCAGCTGATGCCACGGCGCATATTGCTTCAGTTTGTACCCTAGATCTTACCTCATTCAACGTATCTAGACTCGACGACTATATTCAGAAATCAATTATAAAATCCAAGATTTTTGGAGATGCAAAATTAATGTCCAGTACAATGGACCATTATATTTTACAACCGATTATTGGTGGGTGAAATAAAGGGTATTAGGTGTCTGGCAAAATTATTGTTTGGTCCAATTATTTTTCTGTAAGCCTGTTCAAAATCATATCAATGCTTCTATCAATTCGTAGATATATTTTTGTTGAATCCTTTAAAACTGATATTTTTGCTAAAATTCTAATTTTCTAAATATTCTGATTAACAAAAACTAAATGGTCATTCAGAATTTTTAAATCACGGACCCAATGCCATTGAATTTTGTTTGGCAAACATTTTGTCTGAGAACTTGCCAAAAAACTGAGCACTGGGAATAAGTTTGTGAATTCTTTACAATACCGAGTATACAGGGCAAAACTAAATATATCATCATATCAAATTTTATCCCATGTTCTATCCAGAATTATATTCTATAATGAACAATGGCCGCATATGCCTGCATTGAAAAATTATACCGACCAAGCTATTCTCTGTCGTTTTATTACCGCTCTTAAAAACGACGCAGTCTGTAAAGCAGATTATAATTTGAATCAGAGGCCTTATTTTGCAAGTTGGGTTCCCAATCAGCATCGGCTGATTTTTGTAAGCTCCTGTCTGATCGGGTGGGATACGCAACAACTAGCATTCGTCTTCCAAAAAAGTCTTCAGTAGTACACTAAATACTAGACAAGCTTATACCACGTGTATATACAAAATTCCTCAAACTTTTGTACTTTCCGTAGGCCTTCTACGACAGTACAGAAAATAACGTGAAAAAATTCTGTAAATTTTCTGTAAATAAAGATACTCAGAATGGGGAATGGGCGCACACGACCATCCCTAAATCCGACATTGGTGTTTTAACTGTCCATTTTTGAATATTGATAACTGTAAATATGGGAATTCTTCCATCAGGATATCGTGTTTTCAAACATAATTTCTAACTTTGAGACATACTGTTCTTCGTACTCTTGAACACAATGCAATTTTCTTTTCTCCTCAGAAATGCGCAATTTGTATAGGTAGGCCTAATTTTGAAAGAAAAACTTGGTTTCTATTCAGTTGAGACGTCTGTAACGCTCTGAATTTTCTTTTTATTGTTTTTCCTAACGATGAAATCGGCTCTGCGAGTACGAGTAGACTGGTTGCCAGTCTTTACCTTTTCGATCATGTAGATGCTGAAAACTATTCTTTTCTTCCGAGTACTTTTCCCTGATTAAATAACGGCCCACGTTTACGTTCGATGTCTCATGTCAAAGTGAATATATAGTTTTTGTTTTGTGAGAAAAACATTTTTAAAAAAATGAAAATGAAGTCTCTTTTCATGGTAAAACTAGAAAAAAAACATGTACAGATGGTAATCTAGTTTGAATGTTTATTGAACAATGTACATTTTCTGAATTTCGTTGCAGTTTTAATTAAAAAGAGACCAATCCCTCCGGCAGGGTAGTCACAGGCCTGTGAAGTTCATTATGTCGAGCGATTTTTTTTAAACATATACACGGCCGGAAACGACGTTGCCTCGTCTACCCGTGCGTGACAGCTTGACATTGGAGCGATAACCTTTTAGTGATGATAAAATCCAGAATGGCTGCAGTTTATAATCGACGAAGCCGCATAGCGGAAATATAAATAAAGATTAAATAATACAATAGAGTGCAACAAGCTATAAACGCTCACTTGATAACTTTACCCATATAGCAGCAGATGTAAATACGTTCTTTATCATTTGTAAATAAGGTTTTTTTCTTATTAAGGTCTTATTACGAAATTGCAACGATCAAACTTGCATGATTGAAAGAAAAGTGGAAATGAGCTGTTAAAATATTTAAAATAAGTCTAAAACTTGAACCAAGTTTTTTTTTTTTCCTGTCCGTACACGCACTGTGTTTTCATGAAAACGTTTAAAAGTTCATTCAAAATCTGACCCGATGCACTTACTTCAGCGAACTTCACAAAGCTTGCTCAACAATCTAATAAGTTAAGCGCCTATCAAATGTCTCCCCCCCCCCCCGCGCTGGCGCAGGTCCGATGTCGGGATTTGGTCACGTTTTTCATGCCACAGGGTGTGCATTTTGGGCACCATCTGCATACTCACTAGTGCGCCCCACGTATGTAAGTCGGGGAATGGTCGGGGGTCACTAAAAATGTTGCCCGAGGGTGGGGATTTGGCACTTCAAAAGTGACAATCCCCACGTCTTGGGTGGTGCAGCCCGGGGGAGGGGTGGGGGGAAACAATTGATAGGCACATGACAAGTATGTGTCATGTGGTTACCTTTCAAGCGGTCGGTTAATAAAGGTTCTGATTTTGTTCTCGCTTAGCTGTTTTGTTAAGCTCTTCGTTAAAGGTAACGGACACCATCTGAAAAATAACAACCAATATTTTGCCGATTCAGTGAACAACAGTACAATAATTCTGAACATTGAATTAAAAAAAACTACCTGAGTGGGACGAAATTTCAGCTCAGTAGATATACTTTGCAAAAAACTTGACGAATGCATCTTCGTTTTTCTCGACGAAAAGCGATGTTTCCGTTGAAAGCCCTCCCTTCCAAAATGTTCAATAATACATTTTGACTTGCAACCTCTTGTAATTTGATTGCAAGTTTGTTACTCGGAAAACATAATTCTCATTTGCGGATATGTAACCAATTGAAAAATGTAATGAACTTCGGTCAAATTGGGCAGTATTTAATCTGTGTGTTTTGTCTCTCAATTGTTTGGTCCTAACCATCGCGAGAAAACGAAGATAATTTCTCTTTAATTGAAAATGACAGATAACTATTATAATAGGCGCAATGATTCCACAAGATGCTTGGTCCTATTACCTACTTACACGATACAGTAAGATATAAATTTGGCAGTTTCATTGTTGAACGTTTGCAAGTTGTGTCCATTACCTTTAAGCAGCCCCTGTGAAACTTGTCCCAGATGATGATATGTCAGTACAAGGGTGGATCGGGGGGGGGGGGGCGAGAGGGCCATGCCCCCCCCCCAAAAAAAAAAACCCACACAGCTCAATGTGTTTGTTTAAGTGACGTCGCAAAAAGCAGCCACTGCGTAGGCCTACATCACCATCTTTTGCTCGAAAAAATGGTTACAGTGGTGAGAAATTGCCTCAGATTGCACCACAGAGCATCTACAATCCAATTTGGGGTTTTTTCGGGGCCCTTAAGCGGGCCCCGCGAATGCCACGCCGTAAATTTGTGAACGCACGTTTTGAAGAAAAATTTCCCTTCTGGATCCACACTTGTTTCAGTAATGACAATGCTTATATTAACGGCTATTCGTCGACCTATGCGACACAACCTTCAAAACTGAAGTGGCTGAACATGGTGGGAATCGGTGCAGAAAAAGCTTATTGTAAAGAGGGTCTCACATTTTGTCAAACACCACTAGTTTACTTTTCCCTTCTCAACATCTTTGTGCAGATAGCAACCCAGACTAATTGCCTACACTTCTACGTACAGCAGCTGCAGATAGATTTTAAATACATCGGCAAACACACGGCGTAAAGCGATCTCGACCGAGAGGTAAATATGCACTGTTAAGCTAATATCACCTGGGGTTGTTCTGAATGCACTGTAATAATAATGACACCAGGAACCGGCGTATCTCACTACCCGAGCATTTCCCAACCGATGTTTTCATTTAATTAAAACTGTGAATTGATCCAGACGTTGCATCCTCATTAAAGTTCACGGTATAATGAATTAACTTCAAACAGGTTGCAGGGATTGATGAAATCGGCGAAATTATAGACCAGGGGAGGTGCCGGACGTCGGCGTGTGCATGTCAGTGGAAAATATTCTGTTCCAATCACCGTTGAGTTCGAGCCGGAAAAAAAGCAGTCTCAGTCAAACCCATCACTTGTTGCTCACAACACGGAGAGGTTGAAGGACGCTACGGAGTGCAGATTGTTCAGAGCACAGTTCTATTTGTTTGCAAAGTCGTCAAACGTGAACTAAGACACAGAAAAGACTAGCGAACAAGGAGTTTAGTGAACTTAGAGGAAGCACGAAAACAGGCTATTCTGATATGAGTGTCATAGCTGCACTCCGTAATGCACGCGAGTCCAGAGTAACTCTGGTAGTGGTAGTGACTGCTGCACTATTCCTCGACGAATTCTTACTAACTGTAGTCGGTAAGTTCACTTCTTCCTTTTATTTTCGTTTTACTTGATTTATATTTTGGACGACAAATAGCAGAAACAAGTATCAATCGGGCTGTCAAACATTAAACAAAGTAAGGACTGCCATGAGGCCATCCAAGGAATGGTTTCTTTCAAACCCCCAAAACATTGATTGAAAATTGCCAATTTTAAAATATCAATACCCATGTTCTTATTGTACTAAGTAGTATTAGTCGGCAAGGAAAGGAAGTTTAAACTAGAGGTTCGCGTTTGTTGAGTTACAAACGCAGAGTGGTCGGCATATTTTCTTGTGTTTACAATGACTTAATCATAATTGAACTGCACAATACCCCTCCCATTACCCGGCATTCATTACCTTGTGTTTTCCACAAAGAAAATCACACAACCTGCAGTTTAACTTGTTGCTTTACCTCGACAAGACGTGTAGGCCTATCAGGAAGCGCACCTCTGGTGCTGCATGGATGGCTACTCAAGCATACAACCAGTTGGGACTATTGGTAGACTTGCCGGAGCCTCTTACGTCGTTGGAGTTTATGCAACATATGCTAATCATATCATAAAATGGCTTTTATGGGTTTTTTTCTTTTGCATGGGCATAATAAAATTCTGCACTGACTTTACGACAGAAAAGTTTGTGGCTACACGCTGTGGAAATATTAATTTTCATCATTCAGATATGAGAGGAAAACTGGTGAGGCGTGATTTCAATCGGTTACGGAAAGAAATCTTGTTTTCCTTTTATTTGAGGCTAATTTCTATATTTTGAATTCACCTAACTTTGACCTTCCGGCAGCCCCGGAAGGAAAGGTCGAACGACTTTGACTTCCGGATGATGACGCCATCACACTGTTTTTGTGTCTGGCTTTCCTCACTAAACACTTTTATAATATATGTGTCTGTAGTAAATTGCTACCGCTTTTGAGATATATTCAGTTTTTATGGCACTTCCGGTAACACCGGAAGTAAAGGTCAAGCAGTTTTGTGTCTGGGACAAGAAATGTTCCTCACAGCATAGTCTACAACCTCACGAAAAAACGAACACGATACTCTATTTAGTTCAAAAGATATACGCAAACTATTTTGTCAAAATTTGCCCTTAAATCGCTTGTAATTTGATACCTGATGACGTCATGATGGCGTAACGAAATTATAACATTTTCGTAACAAGGTACAAGTTCACATAAGGTTTTGTGATCATACCGTGAACCGTTCGAAAGAAATGTTGCTTTGTTTTGATTTCAGGCTAGCGTCTTCATTTTGAATTCATTTAACTTTGACCTTCCGGTAGACCCGGAAGTAAAGGTCAAGCGAGTTCACGTACACGGCAAAAAATGTTAAGCGATTAATGGTCTATCTGATTACAGAATACAAACATCATTGAATGTTTAGTTCAAGAGTTATAAGTAAAAGTATTTGGTCACTTTTTTCAGATAAAATCACTTGTAATTTGACACCTGATGACTTAATCATGACGTCAGAGTAATATGCACCACTTCGGATGAGGGTCGATATATATTGAAAGTTACAAGTTCATACCATATACCTTTTAAGAGAAAACCCGCTGAGAAGTATTGTCCGGAAAAAAAAGAAAAAAAGAACTAGAGGTTCGCGTTTGTTGTTACAAACGCAGAGTGGTCGGGCAGGCAATTTGTTCATTAAACACTGCCGAATTGAGTATGAATATGTTTATGTAACAACAAAGGATCACGAAGTAAATCCTTTCCACTGCAGTACAATCAATTATTTTGTTTCAAAAAATGCATATTTAACGGTGTGATAAATTTTAGTAAACATTTTCTGTACTCATACAAGTTATTTCCGGCTTGGGGACGTCATATTTCAAAAACGGGAAGTGGATACCGATTTAGTTCGCAGTGGATCAATGTTCGTTGTGAAGTTAAATAACGTATGAAAATATGGAAAATATAACTGTATGTATTTATAACACCTAACTTCCGGTTTGATGACGTCACAGTATTTGGAAGCAAAACGTGAACATTGTAAGGGATATCGTTATATGGGCTACGAAGATATACGACATGAATCAAATGATAAAATTAAATCTAAAATATTATATTAATATTTTCAAATTCTCGTATAAGTAACTTCCGGTCCGATGACGTCAAGAATTTGGAACCTTGCCAAATAATCTGTGGCTAATCAAAGAATATCAAGGGGCGATTTGTAAATATTTGAACCGATCGTTTTCAAATTAAAAAAAAACACCTATTTTATGTGCCGCTAGAAGGGCGCCCTTTCGAATGATGACGTCATCACACTGTTGTTTTTTTTGTGTCTGACATTCTTCACTTAACACTTTCATAGTTTATATGTGTGTAGTAAAATGCTCCCGCTTTTGAGTTATATGCCGTTTTTATTGCACTTCCGGTAACACCGGAAGTGAAGGTCAAGCGGTTTTGTTTCCGGGAACAGGAAATGATTCTCACTGCATAGTCTACAACATCACGAAAAAACGAACACGATACTCTCTTTGGTTCAAAAGATATAGCACAAATTATTTTGTCAAAATTTGCCCTTAAATTGCTTGTCATTTGATAATTGAAGACGTCATGATGACGTAACAAAATTAATAACATTTTTGTACCATGGTATATGTTCACGGGAAGTGACTACTCATTTAGTTCGGAGTGGATTCATTGTGAAGTTAAATAACGTCACAGTATTTGGACGCAAAAGGTGAACATTGTATATCGTTATTTGGGCTTCGAAGATATACGACAGGGATCAAATGATAGAATTAAATTTAAAATATGATCGTTTTCAAATTCTCACAGAAGTAACTTCCGGTCTGATGACGTCACGAATTTGAAATCTTGCCAAGTTATCTGTGGTTAATCAACAAATATCAAGGGGCGATTTGGTAAAATTTGAACGGATGGTTTTCAAAATAAAGAAAACAAACACTATTTTATGTGCCACTAGGGGGCGTCCTTTTGGATGATGACGTCATCACACTGTTTTTGTGTCTAGCATTTCTCACTAAACACTTGCATAATATATTTGTCTGTAGTAAAATGCTTCCACATTTGAGTTATATTCGGTTTTTATTGCACTTCCGGCAACACTGGAAGTAAAGGTCAAGCGGTTTTGCGTCCGGGGACAAGAAATGTTTCTCACGGCATATTCTACTACCTCACGAAAAAAACGAACACGTTACTGTATTTAGTTCAAAAAATGTAACGCAAACTATTTTGTCAAAATTTGCCCTTAAATCGCTTGTAATGTTATATCTGATGACGTCATGATGACGTTACAAAATTTACAACATCTTCGAAACATGGTACAAGCTCACACAAGGTTTTGTGATCATACCGTAAACCGTTCGGAAGAAATTGTGCTTTGTTTTGATTTCAGGCTAGCGTCTTCATTTTGAATTCACCTAACTTTGACCTTCCGGTAGACCCGGAAGTAAAGGTCAAGCGAGTTCACGTACACGACAAAAAATGTTTAGCATTTAATGGTCTATCTGATTCCAGAATACCACTATCACTGATTATTGAGTTCAAGAGTTAAAGGTGAAAGTAATTGGTCACTTTTTCAGATAAAATCCCTTGTAATTTAGCACCTGATGACGTAATCATGACGTCAGAGTAATATGCACCATTTCGGATGAGGGTCGATAGATATTAAAAGTTTCAAGTTCATACCATATTCTGTTTAGAGGAAAACCCGCGGAGAAGTATTGTTCGGAAAAAAAAGGAAAGAAAGAAGATTTATGAGAACAAATCCAGACAGTGGTCGGGTTGTGCCCGACCACTCAAAGAAAGAAAGATTAATCGCAACAAATCCAAAGAGTGGTCGGGTTGTGCCCGACCACTCAATAAATCTATAGTCTCGCGATGGGATACATGAAGCTTCCGGGAGCCAATTTCCATGGAACTATTAAGCAGGCTGCTAGGTGGCTGCCTAAGATTGGCCCTTATTTTGTTCACAAAACGCTCAATGGATTACAGAGGGAGGTCAGTTTACTTGTCCTGCACTCTAAAACCTCCTGGGTCAGATTTGACCAGAAGTCTGGGTAACATTTGACCTGATAATTGTCCGGGTCAAAATGACACTTTCCTAGGTCAAAATTACCCGGAGATTTGACCCGAAATCTGAATCACATTTGACTTGATACATTTCCGGGTCAAAATGACACTTTCCTAGGTCAAAATGACCCGGGAGATTTTACCCGCAATCGGGGTCACATTTGACCTAATACATTTCCGGGTCAAAATTACACTTTCCTAGGTCAGAATGACGCGGGAGATTTGACCCGGAGTCTGGGTTACAGGTAAAAAAAAATAATAACCTTGGGTTGCACAAAACCACTTGTTCCGTTGCTCAAAACAGTAGTCGTGGGTATTATTTTCTGCAGTACACTGTAAAAAGTCCCGGCTCAGATTTGACCCGGGATCCAGGTTCTATGGGGCCTGACACTTTTCTAGGGTCAAAATGACACTTTTCAGGGTCAAAATGATATTTTTCCAAGTCAAAATTACTTTGAGATTGAGTCAAAGAAGTGTCATCTTGACCTGGAAAAATGTCAGGCCCCATAGAACATGGATTCCGGTTCAAATTGACCCAGGATTTTTTAGAGTGATATATAAAGGTTGCAAAACTATGAGGGATGCGGAGATTGTTCATTTTCTAATGCAACCTAAAAGGTTTTTAGACCTTTTCGACATTCGCAATGCATCTTGGGTACGTACAGCTACAAAAGCATGGAAGGACTTTGTTTTGTTTTCATAATTAAATTTCAAAGTTTGAGCATAGATCCTTCGTGATGAAGGATTACAAAGCAACGCCGGGGCGTCCGGTTCAAAGTTTACTGTACTTAATACAATGGCAGAAATTAGTTGAACAATTAGCCTATGCATGTAATTCTTAGGGACAAAAAAACAGCGAATTTGATGCATAATGGATTGGAGAGTGTGATGAAACTTACCATTCTTTTTACCGATCTGCAGTGCCAATACTACCCGTGATCTTCCTCGACGAGTGTCTCCGTTACAACAACCCCACCGTTGGGTACATACCACTGGGAAATGTCACCGGGGCTGGTCCGCTGATGGCTTACGGGGAGGAGCGAGCGACTGACAACGAGACCAATGCACTCGATGATCATGTCTACACGGAATGTGAGCGAACCGTCAACACGCAACTAGGCGTATTTCTGGGCAGCCAGTTCGCGGTCCGCGTTGTCATAAGTTTCTTCGGCAATTACATGTGCGAAAAGTGAGTTTATAAATCTCGTCCATGGAACCTAATGACAACTTTACTGAAAACTATACTGACATCTACCTATGTTTTAATACCAAATCACATTTTTTTCTCCAGCACAAAACTGAAATCTCTGAGTTTATACCTGTGGTTCTTTTTAGAACCATTCTCTTAGTTGAGAAATTATTCGCACATGGTGTTTCCGCAAACCTTTCATTATTTAGTATCTCCACCATGCAAAGCCTCAAATCTGAATCTCTCTGATCATTACCTAATGGGCGTATATACATTAACGTATTCGCAGTGTAAAGCGATATATCCACTTTGGGTTTTAAAAATAATAGCCGCACTAAAGTGAATAATCTCTCAGCATATTCGACCTTCAGAAAATGCAAAATAGTATATGAATTGTGCTGGTATATATGGGGATGTGTAAGGCAATAAGGGAATTATGTAAAGGGCCTGTCACATTATATGCGATCTCATAGGAGACCTTACAGCGACCAAAAAATATTTCATAAATTTAACAATCGCAGCAAGGACGCAAGAAAATGTCAACTTTCTGTCTCAAAGAAGCTCAAGCTACGCTCATACTGTGCTCTTCCCACGCTTACGATGCGCTCAACTCGCTGTCTATGCGCCCCTGTCAAGCTCAATTACTCGATCTAGTCGCTGCCGCTGCGCTGTCACTGTGCTCACACTACGCTCTGCTCGCTGTTGATACGTCCTAGTAGCTCACGTCGCGCTCTCTATTCAAAACGGTCAATACACAGTCCAGTTTCAAAATTATTCTACAAGTTCATCGCAGTCGAGTTACTTTCTCATGGAGACTACATCGACTGTCTTGCGCCTAGGCTGCCTCAATGCCACTTTAATGTCGCACGATTCACGCTCGAACAGCGCCCGAGTTGCGTCATTATGGCGCCCTGGCCAGAGTGCAGAGGTGTTGCGATTGTTTTGAGCATGTTCAAAGACCTTGGCGCTCATCGGAGACTATTAAGACCCTCTGGCGCCCATCTGGCGACCTATGTAGTTGTCGCTGCGATCTAGTCATTGTTTTTGCGCCCCAGCTATTTTTCAAGGACGCAGTGAGAGCGCATATAAGATCGCAGACAGTGTGACAGGGCCTTAAGTAAGTAACTTCGAGTCCAGTTCTCTTGTTTCAGTAATTTTTGGATGTCTCAAACTCCTACTCTGCGATACTTAGCTTAGCTCTAAATTGCAATATTTGATTTGCCTTCTGAGGATGCCTAACTGTGCGTTAGAAGCCCCATACACCTGTTAGTGTCAATACCAAAGTACATTGCATGTTCACGTTTGTCCCATGCCAACAGTCTGCAGAATCCCTAAAAAAAATGGTTAGACGGTTTGAACCTTACTCACATGTCGCCCGCGTTCTTGCAGTAGAATAGTAGATGCGCGCGTATTATTATTATTTTTTTTTAACTATGTAGACATTTCTTTCCAACCCATGGTTGGCACTTTTTATCAAGTACGGAAGGTTAACGTCGCAAAAATAAAGAATAGTTCTAAATGTTTCCAAACGTATCACATGGTTGTTGAGAATTCCAAATAGCCAACAAACACTACCACCGACATAATAAAAATGCATTCACATTCATTATGAGGCTGTTCATGGCTCAAATAGCCACTTTGGACCCAATTGCATCAAAAATACTCAAAATAGGAAGCCCCAAGTCCAGGCCAGAGGTGCAGTGCCATATGTCTTCAATTTCCCAATTCCATGGCTCTCAGAACTCTGCAATATAGAATAATTTGAGTGTATAAATTTTATTCATGAGCTCGGCGGACGGATTTTTGGCCTTTTTACTGGGGTCACTGTCTTTACTATGGAGGTCCTCGAAATGTGGGCACAAGTGTTGTAATTTTCGTGATGAACGACTGTTGGTTGGTTGACAGCCGCCAGCTGACTCTAATACATGATGACGAAGATGTTGGCATTGTATCGAATGTGGCCGATTTAGACATGGACATTTAATGTTGCATATTTTAGGCACAATTGAATAATTCACTGCATTATTCACATTATTATCTGTGGGTAGAATATTTTATCAACATGCAACAGCTGTCTTCTCTGGAAATCTGTCTGATGCGCCGATGATTAGTATACAAATATAACATGGTTTGAGAGTGGACAGTCGATATTCGCTCCCCGACGTCAACTTTCAATACCGAGGGGAGCTAATATCGACTGTCCACCCGAAATAAACCATGTTATATTTGTTTTACTATACCTCATACATACTCAGCGCCGATTTGTTTTGGGTTTTTTTCGTTTCAGTGTGCACCTCAAAAAAGTTTTTTTGAAAAACATGTCCAGTTCACCGCTAAAATCGTATTGCTCAAATTCACTGTTCAGTTTGTTTACAATACAGTGCAGCTGTGTACAACAATACAGTAGTGTGTACAACATTCTTTTATACAGACATTAAATGTTGCATATTTTAGGCACAATTGAATAATTCACTGCATTATTCACATTATTATCTGTGGGTAGAATATTTTATCAACATGCATTAGCTGTCTTCTCTGGAAATCTGTCTGCGCCGGTGATTAGAAGAAAATACCGGCATTAAGCAAATTAGGTTTGCAAAATAATTAGATATCGACGTGCGTATGTATATGTTTTCAAAGCTGCAAGCCCTGCCTCCACCTCAAACCACAAAGACTGAGTTTGTATCAACGTAAATGGAACAACAGCTGTTTTGAAACATGTGACTCGTAACTTTGCTTATTCTCGCTGATGTAACAGCTGTTCGTTATAAAAAAAAGATAATTAGGTCGGTGTTTAACCTGCTTTACGTGTTCCACTTGTTTCATATTCCTCGTGTTATACATGTACTTGGTATAAAGCAACATCGATTTCAGCTTGCAAAAAAGTATTAATATCGATACAAACACATTGATTTTCACCACTTGGTTACAAACTCAATTCTTGAGGTTAAAAATACAAACTATACAAACTTCTCAAGAGCAATTTAATTAATAATGTTTTCCCTGCAGATTTGGCTACCACTTGCCAATGCTTGTGGGCTGCAGCCTGTTGATCATCACGACTGTAGGTATGTCAGTTATAAATAACTTCAGTTGGTTGTGTCAGCGTATGAAACATGCGGATTTCAATTAAATCTGGACTCTATTTTTAGATCTACCGTACAATGCAATGAAATACGATGTTATGAACAGAATCAAAAGATGAGTATTTAACCAACCACTATCATTTCCCCGGAAATGTTGATTCTCATTTTTGCCGGCCCTGGTGTGCAAGATTTGATGAGGACGTAGCCCTGAGATTAAATCACCACAATCACAAGCTCAAATCACAAGTCAATCACACTTCGGATTAGAAAGGTCACAAGGGCCAGTGCCTTTGTGACAGTTCGTTTCAAAGGCTCGTCGTGAAAGGAATGATTTACATTCATTAACTTGTGATGACGTGCAATTAACCTAAAGATACAGGGTGAGAAAAAAAACAGAATATCTATTTCATATTTTCAAAACATCCATTTCCAAAACATCTATTTCATATTTTAAAAAATATGCAGCACCAAAGATACTAATGACTGGAAAGCTAATTTCATAAACTACTTTTGGATAGAAAAAAAACAACTGAAATTGCTCAATCCGTTCAAGGTTGATCACCATTTAAACGCAATGACCCTAAAACCTCTTTCGTCCAAAAATGCGATTTCAAGAATCGTCGTCACAATTGACTTCAAACGTCACCAGCGATAAAACCTCAGTTTAAAAGTTAAAATTGAACAAAGTCCTTTTGAAGGCCCTTCTTTTTTTATAAAGTTGATTTTATAAATCATATTGTTTGACTAAGCACGATTGTTAATAAAAAAAATATTGTGTACTACAGTGGTAGACAGTTGTCGAAAAAAGTATTCTGTGTCATTTTCTTTGTTGCTCCAAACAGTCAGAACACACAATAAATTGTTGGACGAATTGATTTGAACGAAACAGGTTTTAGGGTCATTGCGTTTCAGTTGTGATATTATTTGAACGGATTGAGCAATTTCAGTAATGTTTTCATCTTAAAGTAGTTTATGACATTAGCTTTCCAGTCATTATTATTTTCAGTGCTATATATTTTTTAAATATGAAATATATTGTTATTGACTGATGAGTGACTCGCGCTTAACTTGTGACTACCTGATAACAACTCTGCAAGTTTTCCCTCTCGTATTTAGTCTTGATCCTTCATATTGAAGTATTCAACAACTAAAGTCTGTTTTTCCCCTCTAATATCCACCGACAGTATATGCAATAGCTGAATCATACGCGGTATATATGGTTGGTCGAATGATACACGGACTGGCAGCGATTCCGAATGACGTAGGAGGTAAGTCGGTGAAACTTTGGGACTTCATTTTGTGGAAGAAGCAGTGTTGTAGTAATCGGTACTCGTACTCGAGTACTACTCGAGTACCTTTTTAGAGTACTCGTACTCGTACTCGAATGTCAAAGTACTCGTTTTCGAAATGACGGTACTCGCACTCGGGCAGCAAAGTACTCGTACTCGGCATGTCGACATTGTACTCAATCATCGAAGTACTTAAATTTAAGTGCGTCACAGAAAGTGTCTTTTTTTTAATCCACGAAAAAATTCAAATCCAGTCCAAATTATTGAAGTGAAGAAATTATTGTTTCCTATCCTCTTACCATACCATCGTTAATGTTACTAGTTTAAGAAGCAAGAGATCCCTTGGCAGGATACGATATGAAAGTTTGAATGGTGAAAAGAACAATTAGAGTAAGTTTACGGTTGCACTGCGTACAAATCCCATTTATGAGTTTGTCAGGTTCTGAAAAGAACCGGGGAAACTCCTGGCAGGATGTTATTGTATCAAGCAGAACCCAATTGATTTTGTTAACAATAAGCTGAAATCGAGTTTTGATCGGGAAAGCTTATCGGGTAGTTTTTTGTATTTTTTACAGGCCTCGGCTTACTGGCGTATCGATTCCGTGACAATGATGAGAGACGAGGGTTTGTACTAGGAATCGCTCTTAGTGGCTTTGCTTTCGGCACAATGGGTAAGGCAATGTCCATTCGCTCTTATTAATTGTTTAAAGTATAAAAGTAGAAGACACACAGAGTATTATCAGTTTACGTTTCACGTTCTACCGCCTGCATTAAACGATCACCATAACACCACAATGCATTCTTACCCAATCGTAATTAACGAATCACACATCTTTGCTAAAAAAATTTAAAAAAACCTAGGAGGTTCTGGGTTTTTTTAATTAGCACCTATTGATATCAAATGTCGATTTAATTGAAAATTATTTTAATAAGTTGATAAATATATTTTTTGGTTCCCTCAGTTTCACCACCATTTGGCGGAGTCGTTTTCTTCTATCTCGGGAGGGCCGCACCTTTCATCTTCATCGCTGGTTTTCTAGTACTTTTGGCGCGTAAGTCAAGAAGTATCACTTTGGCTTCTTTTCCGTGCAGGTTTTGAGGGGAAAAATTATGACATTGATGCTACGTTTTGTTTCACTGCAGTATTTCTGACATATGAAAGTGTACTGTGTGTGCTCTTTAACAAATTTCAATGTTGACATATCTGTTGTCTATTTTTGGCGTCTGCAAAATGTGCAAAAGGCCTTTGTTTTTGGCTCTACTTCTTAAAGTCAAACAGATTCGCTTTCTGTCCCTATACGTTATCGATTCTGATAGGCGAGTGAGGAGCAGTGTGCGAGAACTGAATTATTGTCCTGCCATAATCAAAACGTAATTTCTAAAAAGAATATTCCACTATTTCCCTTCAATGTTTCATACAAAAAGGAAAAAAATTGTACATTTACATAGAAAAATATCAATGTTTAATCAATATCTACTTGTGGGGCTAAAACTGGATAAAAACACATACAGTAAATCTTTAACTGAAAGTCAAATTGTGAATTGGTAATTAAGGTTTCGAAAGTATAGGTGAAACTTGAACAAAATTCTTAACAATGATCTCTGAATTGTTTTAGCCAGAATAAATATTTTGAAAGAATAATAGTTTGCAGTTACCTGGGAAGTTACCAAGTAAATAATTGGGAAAAAACGTTCAGTCTTTCTGAACGTAAACTGGTCCAAACCCTGTGAATTTAAAATGCCAGGCACATCATTTAATTCAATCTTTAAAGGTGTTTGTTTTTTTATAATGCGGTTAGTAAACGAACAAAAACATGCAAACTCAGTTTTGCTTCCTAGTCTGGACATTGCCATCTTGATCTTAGCAATGTCATCGAATCTAGCCCGTCCTGGTCTAGGTACAGAGTTGAGTTGTGACCAAATAATTCGTACCATAAGTTAATGGGTGAGTTGTCAGTGTTAAGTCGTAAGAGACGCAGTTGATTAATTTCCCATTGGCCCATTGATTAACCGATAGAGTTGTGTGTGCACGTCGACATGGGTGAACGTTTGCGTGTGTTTATGCTGTAAATCGAGGACACACACGTGCAACATTATCCACGAATCGAGGACAGGAATCGAATCGAGGACTCCTCGGTTGGAAAACGTGTACAAAACCAACGAGAGCTGTTGGAAAAAGTTCGAGTATACAAAGGGAAAGGGAAGAGGAACAATAGAAAATCCTCGATTTACGTGCACCATAAACAAACGTGTGTGTCTGCTGATGTCTTAGCGAAATAATACGCAGGGATTGGAGGTTGCACGAATTGAGGTTGCCCTCCCCAAATGTTTTTGAGAAAGTTAGGGTTGAATGCGGCATTTAACCTGTGCTCCCGGCTCCCAATCTAAATCCAGACCAACAGCACTGTCGTATTTTCTTGTCAGTCCATTTCTTGGCCGTGCGCCTGAACGGCTTGTTGAACAGACAGTAGATGAACACGTTCAGGAAACTGTTGGTCGCGGCCAGCCAGAACACGATCAGTTCAAGCAGCTCCGGCAGCGACACCGCCGAGAGAGCAGCATAGGCCCCCGATACGGTGTAAGGCGTCCAGCAGAACGTGAAGGCCGCGGTGACTGCGATGAAGGTGCGCAAGGCCTTTCTATCAGGACCCCTGGCAAAGGGCAGGCCCCGGGCAGGCCTGACAGGCTGGATGCGGCGTGCGTGTTGTCGACTTATCCCGATCAACCTGTAGTATATCAGTGTTATTGTGACCAGGGGTGTCAGGACCCACAAGCAGAGCATCGCCATTCTCAGAAACACATCGGTGAAGTCAAAGTTACAGAAAAGGGCGGCAGTGTTTGGTAGGATCGTGGGCCTTTCGTGCAAGCAAACGAAGAGGGCAGTTGCCAAGAAGCAAGAGAGAGACCCAATGATGATCACAGCAACGACTCTTCGTCTCTGGAGTAATATGGCGAATCGCAGAGGCATGGTGACAGCGAGGTAGCGCTCCACGTTTAAGAATGTGATGAAGAAAATGGACATGGTGACTGTGAACACGCTGAGTATGGCGTGGGCCGTGCAGAACCCGAGGCCGAACGGCCAGAAATTCAGGGCCGACGCCACGGCGTGTGGGACGCCTAAAATCCCGATCAGAAGGTCGCAGATGGCTAAGGATGTCATAAGAATTTTAGTGTTCTCGGCCAACTCGTTGACTCGACGGGTGACGATTATGGAGATGGAGTTACCCACGATTGTAGGCACGCAGACCATGATGATTCCACACGTCCGAGCAACTTGAAACGGGACTGACCGCTTCCAATCATCTGTTCCATCCGCAGTTGAAAAGTTGTTCATCTTTCCAGTCGCAGTACGCGCTAGTGGTACGAAGCGTATCGCGTACCGCGACAGAACTGAAAAAGACACATCCTAGCATTGAACACACTCACTGAGGGGTTAAAGGCACGTTGAATGGCAAGCCAACAATACTTATTGCTCGCAGCTTCAGGAGTACAACACAGTGGCATCCTTTGTCTTCCTTACTTGTCACCACATCCCTCGTCTACGCACTCATAAAGCAGGAAGTTCAGTGGATTTTATCTGATGTTCATCAAAATCTAATTAAAACAGATAAGAAATGTTGTTACTGCTTTTCGACCAACTGCGAGTAGCTTCCTAATCTGGGATGGAATTCATCTTCGTTATACTAAATTGTTTTAAGACTGAAAAAGAAGAAATACCTCGGTGGTGGCTCTCCTCGTTAATGTGTGATTACTGTCATTGTTGATGACTTCCCCATCTCGGTTTTGGATCCGTTGAAAATTACACTGATACGGCACGAACAGCCAACAGAAATTGGACCTCATGTCTAATATTTGCCTCCTTCGTCAGTGGTTGCAGTAAGTTTTAGTTGAGTACTGTTTCGCAGGACGTTTTTCAACCTTTGGACCATGAGTGGCGATAATACTCTTCAGGGGAAAATTTTGGGATCTAATGATAGATGACATATTTGACTGTGCCATCAAACAATTTGGATCCCTGACATGTTCTTTAAGGAGAAAAAAAGGTTACTTACAAAAATAAGGATATCAAAGGACAAGACAAGGTAAAAACAAAATCTTGGGACACTGTGCGATGGACGGTAAAATGAAGTAATAAACGCTGAAGGTGGTCTGGGCTATGAATTAATTTCGTACTCAAACATAATTATTCTGTGTACAAAGAATGAAATCGAACTATAACATCAATATAAAAATATATAAACATAGTTTGAGAAAATTTGTGAACATAATTTCCGTCTTTATCCATATCCTAACTGTTTGTGGCTAATGGTCACAGATTTTATGTTGGGATGTGCATATAGGCCTACCTAATTTTTCCGCCGTTAAACAAACATTTTGCATGCATATTAATTTTTAGAAAAAAACCTAATTTTTCCCGAGGCAGGTGACGCCGTAAGATTACTGATGTCGGACAAACACTTGATTTGTATGTTCACCCAGTCCACAATTTCATCAAATTTTTATTACTTATTAAGCCGGGTTTTAATAGGAAAAAAAATGAAAACAAACAGTGAAGCCGATTAAGCACACACTGCACCTGCATTGATTGAGTGCAGAGCGTGCGGCAAGATGTAGATATTATGATCGAGTGCAAACAAAGCGAAAAACTGACGGAAGAAAAGTGCATTTTCTTCTAGAATTAGATTTGCTTCGGTAAGATGGTAAAGTGGGTGCTTGAGGGAGAGGGTATATTTTTATGCACTTCAAAGAATATTACCTCGTAGAGGGAAAAGAGCCATAGCCGATTCCCTTCTAAATCCCCATTTACATAATTTGTTTCCATTATCAAATTCCTTACTCGTTTTACACTAAAGTATAAAAACCATTTCGTTAATATTTTAAACATTTCACATGCTTCAGTTGCAGAGATTGCCATTTATGACCATGGCACGGCGACCCAGGAAAAGGCGGATGTTATGGCCACGGCAAAGCTCTTGCTGGACCCATTGATTCTTGTCACAATCGGTTGGTGAAGTACCTTTTGAAATTAGTGTGCTACTTCAGGCGCGGTTCTAGAACCAATATTTTGGGGGGCTAGCACGTTGGATCCAGAATTTTTTCAGAGAGGCGTGCTGAAATGTTGACCGGTTATTTTTTCCAGACACATAGGCCTCCAAAAATCAATAGGGGGGGGGGGGGGGGGGGGGGCTCATGCCATATTTTAAATGGGGAGCGCCAATAAAATCCTAAAATCATTCACACTATATTAACTAATGCACCCTTGTCACGGCTATTTCTTCTTTAGGGTGAGACCGTTCGCATGTACATCACAATCCTTCTTTATGTTAATGCAATTATTTTTTTTACGGAATTTATTTTTGGGGGGGGGGGGCTAGACAAAATTTTGGGGGGGCTACAGCCCCCCCTAGCCCCCCGTAGAACCGCGCAGCTACTTTATCACTATTTCTGATATTCCTTTGCATTTATCGGTTTTGACTTATGGTACCATAATAGGAAGGCGATGTTGGCTTTGGTAAATACAAACGATGAATATAAATTTGTGTGGCGGTAATATTCAAAGGAAAAAGAGACAGAAAGTTATAAATAAATCTACGATTGAAAACAAAATATGCGGTGACATGCATTCTCGTTCAGAACAATACAGTTTCTGAAACTGTGCAGAGGTTAACTTAGATTGTTTTTGTATGAAACATTTTTTTTGGGGGGGGGATAATTCGAGCCTGTTCGGAGCCAAATCGTCTCGTTCATGATTTTTCTCGACTGATTTTTGCTTAGTACATACATTTGCTGAACCATATCTTCGACCCAGCAGCTCCATAAAGTACCGCTCTGTGCGGTAAAAAAATCTCTCTTTTTTTCTGATGTAGAGGCTAAATTTCCCTTATAGTTTCACACCTTGTGTTTTTACAATGATGTAATTTTTTTCGTTTACCTTTTTTTCAACGCAGTTGTTACAGTGACCGCAAGTTTGGGCTTCGGGTTGTTAGAATCCTCTTTACCTATTTGGATGCTTGGCACTATGGATGCTGAAGAGTGGCAGCTAGGTTCGTTGATTACATATTATATTTGGTAAACATAAAAATACCGTAATAGCACAGCTTGGCGACAGGTGCCCAAGGTGTCATCTCCTTCCCTCGCCTACTCCAACGGCTTTTTTTTTTACTTTTCCAAGCTGTTGGTCCCACCCCACGGTTAAGAAATTGCCTCTACTACTCCTTGGACATGACTTTGTCTTCTTCTTTTTTTACTGGCGAGGCTGTTAAAAATGCAGGCCAATCCAGTTCGTAGTAGTTTAGTCCAGTCCAGTCTAGTCTTGCCAATTGATGGTCTAGTCTTGTCAATTTAATTAAATACAATTTCATTGTCAACTTTAAACAGGTGTTGTGTTCCTCCCTATGAGTTTGACGGTGATTGTCGGCAATGTAGTTCTGGGCTATTTTGCTTACAAAATTGGAAGGTTAGTAAAATTCTTTTTAGTAAAACGATTAAAATGATAAGGCCTGTCACTGAAATCGGTGTAAAGTGTAAACATTTTTTTAAAAGGTTGCATGGGGTTACGCGGGGGACGGTTTAACTGAATTTAATTTCTAAATGTGTGGACCGGGTTAGCGATTATTCGGTGTGGTTGAATTTAGTTAAGGTGGATTTAGTTGAGTCGGTTTGATTGGGTTTGGGTTACATGAGTTGGGTTGGGTAAGGCTGGGCTGGGCTGGGTTCGGCTGGGTTGAATTGAGTTCGGTTGGCTTTATAGGTAAAATGTGACAGGCTTTTGCGTTTGGTTGATTTGGACAAAAATGGGTTGAATTGGGTTGCTTTGGGTTGAGTTGGGTTGGATTGACTTCGAGTGGGCTATGTACGGTGTGACACGCCGTAACTAACCCAGCTAGCTGCTAACTTTCTTTTTAACTTACCCCTCATTGCCTCTCTTGTTAGGTGGCTATGTGTTGCTATCGCCTTGATTGTAGACGGTATTTCCGTTGCCATGGTAAGAAAAAAAATTCTTATTGCGAATGTTGTCCATCGTATGTAATAATTTCCCGTCTTAATATATTCCATTAAATTAATTCAGCAAACTGTGTATTATCTTGGCAAAAAAGATTCTGTCAAACAGATAAAATTCCTTTTAAAAGTTGAGGACATCAGAGTTAGATTAGAGCATTCAGTGGATAGGTTATTTATAACCAGCTTGTTCGCGCCACTTTCTGTCAAAATTTTTGCCGATAACATTGCACCACCTTTTTTACATCAATGTATGATTTAGATCCCATTTGCCGGCAGTTTCCTAGTTCTAAGTGTGCCGATGGCCACGTTTGGATTGTTCTTTGGTGAGTATTAATTATCGTAGAAGTAGGTTGTCTACAACTTCGTCCCCAGGGTGTCGAGCAGTGCGCGCCCACCACTACCTGCTCTCTCACCCTGGTATTTGATCATTTGCATGTGCAAGATTTTTGAACACGTATGCAAATGAGGAATAGTCTGGTGCCTCCCTGTGCGTTACATTTCCGTTTGTTTTTTGCATGCGGTGTCTGGGGTAAAAACAGAATCAATTCGTCGCAGCGCGAGCATGGCGTGAGTTACGATAACAGGCTTTTATTTTAATTAAACTGTTACGATCTTAACGAGACAACAGTCAGTATCACATTTCATATTAATATTAACAAATTGGAAAGGAGATTAATATTTTCGAGAAGGCGTGGACGAACGATCGCAAAAACACGTACTGCACGTTGTGAATAACAACACCAAGTACACGATATAAACCATTTCTAGCCAATTGAGGTATCGAATCAGGATACAGGAAGAAAGTTTCCTATCCAGGGCTTACAATTGGAAACGAGGTTGGAAATAAAGTAAGCACTGGGGACGAGGCTGGGTTGTCTAGAGGGTTGGTGGTCGACCAAAAACAATAAATTGACTGCATTTATTCTCTAATTGCCTTAGAATCCAGGCTAAAGCATCGTAGATTTCAAATATTTCATGCGACCCGGACCCCCTAGCAGGGCGTCCCCTCAGCACGCCTCAGACTCAACCCCTCCCCCTTCCATCCCCCCCCCCCCTCCGCCCCACTGGAGACGCTACTGTCAAAACGTGATTCACAGTTTTATTTTCCTCATTCAAACAATTGTTGTGATTGGCCGTGGATAAGTAACGAGTTGATTTGCCAACAACACATGGCTACATACATGTTTCTGTCTATGTTTACATGTATGCATGCATACAAACATGATGATTAAGCGCAGTTTAATCAGGTTTATGGACGCGCGGACACCTCGAGATTTTTTTGAGAAGATCCCTTATGTGGTTGTTTACGATTACGTCACACGCTGAACGCGTGAATAACTGGCGGTAATTGGTGGAAAGTTCTTCCGTGTACATGTAAATAGCACGCAATAGTTTGGCGTCGCGTCATTCTCGATTCCACCTCTGACCGGAGAAAAGGCAAATGTTTTGCCCATGAAACTTAACCCACCACCACCCCATCAGCCACCTTTGTTTTTCCCCCATTTCTTTGCTCTTTTGGGTTCAGAAGCTCCGCTTTCTTGCACTTGTTTTGCGTGTTTTCCCCACACAAACAATGGTTCTATCTGTCTATTACCGCAATTATCTCAGCTTATTCCTCGAAATGTCATATGATTCTATCAAACAGTTTTATATTGTGTTCTGCATTGTTAACAAGGTTATATTTAAATATGTAATATTAATATTGTGATTTTTCTGGTACTTCAAAGGAAGTTTTTTAATTGTTGGTAAAGTAAAAGGAAATTATATGTATGTATCTACTTACATCCCAAACGTTTTGAATCTGAGTGGGAAGTAGTATTACTGGTTAATGTTTTATGGCAACTATACTTTACTTTGAAAAATGTAATATTGCCATGGAAAAATCTAAAGATTTCAAGGAACATTTTCTTGCAGTGTATTTATTAATTTACATAAAACTGCAAATACTAAATTAAATATAAAATATAAATAATATACAATGTGTAAAATGTTAAATAAAATATTAAGGACTCCTGAACCCAAATGGAGATTGGTTGTTTCAGTTAGATGTGTATTCATTTTGAGTTCGAGTAACGCAAGTCCATGAATATTATTTAATTTATTTACAACTTCTGTGCAGGTTTGATAGACAGTACGGCGTGCTCCATTTTTAATGTATTGGTTGAAAAGCGCCACCGTGCGGCGTATGGGGGTGCAGCGACACTGTCGATAGTCAGCTTCAGCATCGGCTTCGTAATAGGTAAACAAAACCAAAAAAAACCAGTAAGGACAGATGTTGACAGATGGTGACATAGGACAAAGGATTCTAATCAAATAAATAGAGAGACGGTGTCTCTCCGGACATTCACGACAGATATTACAGGCGAGATTACGCGCGAGGACGACAGCGGTATTACGGACGAGGGCATTTTGGAACTTTTATTACGTAGTGATATAACACTTTGTGACATCATGATCGGTAAGGACAGTATTAACTCTGATGACAGATGGAGACCGTTAATGACACATGATGGATGGGATTATTCTGTTGACGGATGAACACGGTTAACATGTTCATGTATCTGGATGACATTAACTTGACAGATGACGACGGTTAAAGGACAATGGCCGTTGCGTAAATTGCCATTATTGGACATTATTGACATCCGACTGACTGGGACACTATGGGGACGGACTAAAATTCGCTGCTGACAGATGGTGGTTAATGGTATAGATTTTGACATTGAACCCTGTAAATGTATTCTCATCCTTTACTTTTTGGTTTAATTTTGCAGGTCCGTCACTTAGTGCTTTCCTTGTAAATATAATAGGATTTCCTTGGTAAGTCCAGACCTCGAGACCCTCCTTTTTTAGATGCTATTTTCGTGATTTTATTTTTAAGAGGTGGGGTACAGGAATACTTATTTTCAAAGTAATACAATATTCTTACCAAGCTTGCCAATTTCAAAGAAGTCTGGTCTCATTAAAAAATAATGATTTTGTTTTTTCTCGTCGATGCTTCTTGGTAGAAAGGTATATAATTAGATTTGTATTTTTAAAGAATTCTGCTGTTTTTTTATGACTGGCATTTCAACACAAAACAAGCTGCCATAAATAAATTCTTAAATGAATGGGTTAAAAAAATCTGCCGTTGTGAGATTGATCAAAATAGTTCACATCGCCTCAAACTTTTAACCAAGAAAGGGCACTTGTTGGACTTGTGAAGCCGATTGCCAACTCCAACTCTACAATCCCTGAATTCATTTTAAAGTTTATAACTTTATCCAAAACTGTGTAAAATCTGAATAGAAATATGAGCTGAAGACAAAGCAATTTAGGTCCTTGAGAAAAAGTTCAAGTTGCCATATTGTTTCTATTCAAAACCTAAAGTCGTTTCTCGTTTACTCAAAATAAAAATCTTAAGAATTCAGTCTTATTTTTCTTGACGTGCTCACATGAAACAAACGCCTCTACAACTATTGTTTTTCTTTCCTTTGGTTAATTTCCCTTTTTGTGGATTCAAAAATAACACATTCAGCCTGTATTTTTTCAAACAGGATGCTACGAGGCCTCGGCATAGTGGCCGTGCTACTCTCGCCCCTGTGCCTGTTTCTGCGGAACACCGATAGGGCGCCCTCCTCTGAGACCAACGAAGACGAAAGGATGTTGATTCTCCAGTCGCACAAGCCGGAAACTGTGGCGTGCAGACAAACCTGACCGTTGGTTCAGAATACAAAAACAATTGGTATTGAGCCTTGTAAGCTGTAATATGACACGCACTGGCGAATTGGTACTCGTTCAGAAATTCGTGCTTTAGAACAAAATGGCCGAGGCATTGGGAGGTTGCTAATCCATAATGAGGCGCTAATGTAACCTTTGGTTTTTGTTTTTGCTTTGTCTATTCTCAGAGGGTTTACATTTGTATCACCTGGTGCTGTGATTAGGGATTTTAAAGGATGATTTATTTCTACTTCCAAAAATTCCTCGAAAAGTCGCCAATGAACTACTTTAAACGAACTCTTTTCCAGAGCCACAATATTCCTAAACTGAACCCAAAAGGGATAGTTTACAATCAAAAAGTTGTTAAGATCTCAAAACTTTTGCTCGAAAGATCCTTACAAGAGGCAATAAGTACAGAACACACATGTAACTTTCATTTTGTTTTCCACCACCACACCAAGAAGTTGTATATCTTTTTATTTCGATTTTACTTGATTTGATAGATTTTCAATAGATATTGTGCAGGTCATAAATCTAGGAATAGACGTTCGCACAGCAAGCGTCTATGATAATGCATGATTGCATTACAAACACTTTTGATAATTCAGATTGTTACCATTCATTGGGCGTGGGCTTCAGGGAAGACGAGGACGTTCTTACTGATGCAAAATGTTTTTTGAGTAGCCAAGGTATCCAAGATTCACACTATGCATTTTTGTTGGGAAAAAAAATCCACAAAAGAGGAAAAACTGAAGAACGTTTTTCACTGCCGTTGGCGGTGCAATGCGTGTCTTTTTTGTCAAAGCCGTTTTTCTCGAATTGAGGATAGCGAAACTAATTGGCAGGACACTGTTGAAGTTCCTGCGTCATATCTTTGGAATAAATTAAGCTACAGAAATAAATTCTAATTTGCGCTTTATCGTGATGTACATAATGTGAAAAGTCAAAGATGGGGGTTATTCCTCATTATGCCATGGCAGGTCACGGCCACGGCACGGCTTGAATATTATGGAGAACCTCGCATTAACGGGAGTCGACCGTATTTTTTTTTCCCATAGGCAGTTCGATCTTGCTTCTTAAATCAATGCATAAAGAAACTTCTGAAGGGTGCACAGAGCTTTTTGCATGCTAGAATGAGTCAATACCAAATTCAGTTGTGGAGGCAGCCATGTTGCTCAAAATGCATGTAAATGTATCAGGATCAGAGCTGGCGGCTACCAACCAATCAAAAGCCTCCGTGTCCTTTCTCACCAAGAATGCATGCCCACACATATACAGTTGTATTTAGGGCTCCGCACTGAGTGGATATTCGGACTAATAGTAGCCATTGATTGGCGTACACGTATGTGAGTTACTCAACATGCACAGAAAGTGTGGAATATCTACGAAAAACTTCATTCATTAATACAAATTATAATAATTAATAATTCTAAAATTATTAAACTTTTCAAAAATGATATTTTGAAGAAATCAAATTCAAAGATGAGGAAACAAAAGAAAGGAAACAGAGCTAGTCTAATTTAAAGCTAGTCTACGTGTATTTGATTCGCTGTCAGTTTTCCAGTCCGGTTCGTATAGAGCTGAACATATTGGTAACTCGAATCTAAAAAAAGACACGGAAAATATGTCATTTTACATAAAATGAAGACAAGTACATTATAGATAATTTAATCCTTCTTTTATATATGTATATAAATTATTTTCAAACTTTACAGGAAACTCTTTCCAAAATGTTTTGGTCCCGGGATTGCCTTTTTGGAAGACCAAATTAAAACAGCAAACAAAAACCAGCTTACTGCGAAGTCCAGTGATAATATTATTGTGGTGTTTTTACAGAGCTTTATACCAAAGGTCTCAAAGCGCTTCACGATTATGACCCTGTTCAGCCGGCTTTGAGACCCTTTGGGGGGGGGTTGGTAGCAGCAACAGCAGCTCGAGATCAGCGCATTCTGCCTGGCGGAAAGAGGCAATTGTAGTAAAGTATCTTGCCCAAGAACACAAGCAACATGTTCCCCGTCGGGGTTCGAAACCAAGTTCCACGGCAAGTGAGTCGAATACCGTAACCATTGGACCACACTGTCTCGCTTTTCTACTGTACATGTCGTATTATGATTGGCCAGTCCCAAATTGATGGATTGCAAGCCAGTAAAGGTCTCTTAACTGACTGTAAACATTGACTTTAAATCCTTGGTTTTTGTGACACATTAACGAAAAGACGACAGATGTATTTTAAAAAAAAAGGAACAATGAGATTGCGTTAATTCACCTTACACATATTCACAGCCCGCAAATCAACTCGTCCTCTGCACGGGAACAGTCCACAATACGATCACATGTCCATTGGGAAGGAATAGTTTGACCGTCAGAACAGGAGAAGGTATCTTTCGAGACAAAAAAAATAGATAGCGATTAGTTTTAAAGTTTTATTTAGGTAAAACTCGCGCGCGGAAGCTCAATACCTTGTGACGGTCTCCGTGAAATCGCTAAATGTTAAAATAACTCATGGTTCTGATGTTCAGTTCCCTCGATTTGTTAAAACCGAAAAGAACGTTTCATTAGAATCAGTTTTCACCAGCAAAAGATCTTCTTTTTTTTTACTCCTTCGAGTAAAAACAATTGATTTCAAGTGTAAAGTTCAATTTCAGGCCCGTTTCCTGACCAGAGATTGAGGGATTGAGAAAGTTTTTGTTTTCTCATACATGGTACGTAACGTAATTAACGCAAGAGATTTTTTAATTAGAATTTTTCACCTGCAGTGCAAATTATACCATCCCCGGTGTAGCCAGCATTGCATCCACAAGTGAAACCGCCAGGAGTGTTAGTGCAGGCAGCATTGGAATCACAGTTGTTGGACCCATCGGCGCATTCATCCACATCTAAAATATAGACAAAAAGAGCACGTAAACTTAAACTTAATTCCACCAGGTAGTCCCTAATCTGCATGAAACTAAAAAGGATATTATGACTATCTAGATCCTGGTTTCTTCAGGCATAAGATCTCGTGCAAATAATAATAATAATAATAATCGGTATTTGAGAACGTTCTTATTAGTAAACTAAATCACAGCGCTTACAGTATTATTATTACCCCTCACCATGACCCCGGCTGGACTCGAACCCACGTACCGCAGCTTTACCAACATACCGCGAATCCAGTGCCCTTAACCACGAGGCCTTCATTTTGTTCCGTCTACCTGACTACCGACTTATTGACAGCCACTCAGGATTAATAATCCTAATTCAGCATGTTACCAACAACAAAAGCTCCTCGCCCTGATTATAATTCAAATTCTGTAATGATCTAGAGTGTCAATGAGTTAGAATGTTTCAATACATTTTACCTGTGCACATTTTACCATCCCCGGTGTAGCCAGCATTACATGCACAAGTGAAACCACCAGGAGTGTTAGTGCAGGAAGCATTGGGATCACAGTTGTCTAATCCATCAGCACATTCATCCACATCTAAAATTACGAAATAACAACTAGAAATGGTTTATGGTTCTGACTTCAAATAATGCAATAACAGAAATTCCAGCAGTAAACAAACTATAAACACAAGGTGAGGAGAAACACCACGCAATCTAATTTTTGTTTTACAACCTGAAACAAGAATCTGAAACCATAGTTTGCCTCAGTTAATTACATGTATAGCATTCACGATTTTGTCGATGAGTTTGGAAAAAAAAAGTTGTTGGTGCACCTGTGCAATTTGTACCATCTCCGATGAAGCCATAGTTGCATGTGCAAGTGAAACTACTAGCAGTGTCAGTGCAGGCTGCATTGGGATCACAGTTGTCTGTTCCATCGGCGCACTCATCCACAGCTAAAACATATCCGAATAAACGTTTTACGATTACATGTCATTAATGGGGGAACAGTGGCTATAATGGCAATGGTAATCATTATCCACCTTCATCAACATTAATATATATATATCTGATGGGGAAAAACAAGTTCAAAACCAAGTCTTTCCTTTTTTTTTTATTAAATGAAATTTGAAACTGGATATCATTATGGAGACGCTGTCTACATATGGGACTATAGGACAATGGCATTATCACAATCCATACAGTGACATTATTTGTCGACAATGACGCGAATTTGAACGAGCACAACGAGTGATGGGCAGGATTCAACATGGGACATGCATTTTGCAATATCTGAGGCGCTAATGATATTGCAAAATATGCAGGCCCGTGTTCAAATCCTCCCCATTACTCGTTCTGCTAGGAATACGCTTGCGCCGTGACAACACTTACATTATAGATTTCACCACACTTGCATTATACATTTCAATAATTTAATGTGAGATGCACATTAACGTATACGTAGGCTTTCCCGTACGCGTACCAAATGGTTCTAACTACTTTGGTGACACAGCTTTCAGTCTTACCTAAGTGGTGGATACATTGCATTTGACATACTGGATCAGTTCAAGCTTGGAGACTTGCTACCGGTAACATTAATTTTGGTTGCAATGTTTTTGTTTGTTTATTTCTCCTTCGGACGTACCGTATTCTAGCTGGCACACGAAGTGTAGAATCCCCAATGTATTGTGACAGTAAACGTCATTCCATTGTTTTGAACTCAGGATCATTTGCGTGCAGTCTTCATCGCCATACGCCCCTCCATTACTTGGTTCATTAGGAAGATTCCAGTTCCTGCGTGCATCAGAAAAAATACACATTTATGTTTTAACTAAATTGTTTTTGCCTCGATCTTATTTTCGGGCAAGCTTTGCCAGGGAAACAGGCAGGCAGGAGCTAAATCCCTGGAGGATGGGGGATAATCCCCCCACACACTTTTATTGCCAGGGGGAGGGCTATTGAATCATCTCTCCCGGCCCCCCGCCCCCGTTTTTCGTTTCCCCAAAATGCGAATTTCGAGATATTTACCGAACTTCACAACAACCCAAATGTATTCAATAGCACGGAAAATGAAGAAAAGGTACACAACAGCTTAAAATGCGCCGTTTTGATGTAAGCGCAAGTATGCATAAAAATGTACATCTGTATTATAAACAGCGCCGCCAGTTTAACGTTGTGTTCAACCATGGTTCATAATTAAGGGAACAAATGTGTGTTCCAGAGGTATTATATTAAAACACTCTGTTTAAAACCTGTGTGAGTCTGGATGGGTGATAATTACCCGAGGCGAA